TTTTTTTTTCCTCCTGACTGAGCCACCAGTGTTTATCTCGGGAGAGTTTGTGCTGAGCTGGTTTCTGCTAATTTAGTAATGAAGCCTATCCAGGTTGATGATAGCTTATTATTTTCATAAGTAAAAAAACAAACAAATGAGATTATATATATATATATATAAATATATATTAAAAAAAGACACAGTATTTATCATAGCACTAGTGGTCCAGCACCTCTTGGGTGAGGCTGTCCAGACACCATGTGTTTTTATTTGAGTCCAACTCATTAAAAAAGAATCATCTCTTGTCACTTCAATCAAGTGATTTGTTTATTTTAGGCTCCCCTTTTGTTGAGCCTCAGGTTCAGCTGCTGCCCAGGAAATATGGGTTTGGGGAAGGCTGATCGGTGGGCAAGGTCAGACTAAGCTGTTTTGCATCCCAAGAGATGTGGGTCTCTAGGCCCCCATAGGTAAACAAAACAACTGCAGGTTCAGGGATTCAGGGTAGTGAGGTGGGCCAGGGGCACACAGCAAAGCAAGGGAACACAGGGTCCATAGCCAGCATGCTGTCTGCCACTCTACCCTGCCCCTCACTGCCTGCCTTGCCCTTCTCCCATCTCAATGCCTGCCTTCCCTTGTTAAGATGGCCAAATAATCCATTACTCTCAGTTGATTGCCTGGAAACTACCTGCCTTCAACCCAAGAGCTGCTGTGTGCCAGGCTGTCAAGAGGAAGCCATTCCCAGGACAGAGGCCCTTAAGGACAGAGCTGTTTTCTTCCTGCCGGAGTCTTCACCATCACTGCCCAACTCTGATGGGATTGATGCTTTCTGTGGAGAAGTTGGTACCTCATGGAGGCTGATTATTGGACCATTGGTCCCAGAGTGGATGGAACCCATGACTTCCTGATCCCAATTTCCCTACAACTAAGGAAGGCTGCTCCCTACAGCTTGGCCCCAGCAACTCTTAGGAAGGGGAGACTCCATGGGCCTTACAAAAGTCCCACCAGCTGTTTCACATGGATCCTCACAGCTGGTGGGACAACAGCAACAACAAAACCCACTATCACAGGGCTGAGATGCTGCCAGGACATGGGTAGGCCATCTTTGGAGGGGACTGTCTGCCAAGAAAGTGGAGGGTCTATGCAGAGGATACCTAGAAGGGCCAGGATTTTACCTGCTTCACAGGGTGAGTGAAAAGCCCAGGCAACCTCTGCCAAGATTAGGGTCAACTGTGGCAAAGCCACAGTGAGTTTTCAGTCTCCATCTGCATCTGGGCAGGGTAAGCTTTTGTTCTATTGGTGGACACAGAAATCAGTGGTAGAACTCAAGATGTTCTGTGCCCACCAGGCCTCACAAGGCCCACAACGGGACAAAATTGAGTTAGACCGTCTGTCAGTGAGGAACTAGGGCCGGCCCTGACTGAGATCTCCCAAAATTTTGCTTTAGGGGCTAATCCTACAGGCTACTATGTTTTCTTGGTTCCTGTCAGGGCCTTAGCAGCTCATCAGGGGGTCTTGTCCTATGTAAAGGAGATTTCATCCTGTCCAAGGCTGGAACATCCAAGCTCCAAACTCAGGTTGGAAATGCCAGGCTGTTAACAGTGGACCAGCCTTACATTTGGAAATGAAAACCAGAGGCATTTGCAGAACAGTGGAACTTAGAAGACATCTCCACCGTCCTCTCCTTTTACAGTGAAAGAAACAGGTCTAGGAAATTAAGTGACTTGACCAAAGCCACACAGCAAATAGTGGCAGAGCCAGTACTAACTATTCCTGTAGGTTAGACAGTCCTGTCGATACTTAAAGCAAATGGCAAAGGAGTTTTGTAAGGGGTTAGACTGGGGTGAGGTCAGCAGTGCCTGAGCAGCTGGCACCTTCAGGGGTGTGACAAGGGTGGGGATGGGTGCTGAGATGTGGGTTATGGAGTGGCTGAGAGGGCCGTGGATGGCTCGGGACTGCTGTGTACTGCACTGGGTTGTGTGTCCACCTGGCTCGCACTCAGTACCCATGGCCACCTCCCCATTTTCTGTGCCTTATCTCACTGTTTCAGCTGAGTCCAAGTTGTTTACTCTGTTCCTCTCCAGAGAGGCTTTCTGTCCTAGTTGGACAGCTCACTTTGAGGACATATGCCTTTGTCCCACAAGCTGTGGGGAGGGCCAAAATCAAGCTGCTGGAGCCAGCTATTAGTCCAGTCCTGCCGCCAGAGGAGACCCGTATGCACCCCCAATCCTACTAGCCCATTTACAGGAACCTAGAGTGGGGAGGAGTACCTGGAAGCAGCTTGGTAAAGGGCTGGACCTGACCCTGGTGTGCAAAAGGAAGATCTGCCTGGGTTGGGTTGTCCAGTCCTGAGGTAGCATTTCCTAACTCACCTTTCCCTTTGAGGCACAGATGGTAGCTCCTTGCAGAGCAAGGACCAAGCTGGCAGATGACACAGAGTCACCCCCTCCCATCCCTTCCTCCGAGGGTCTGTGGCTAGGTACAGACTGGGTGCAGGACATCACAAGCTAAAGTAAGGACTGCCTGGCTACCCAGCACCTTCCCAGTCCTTAAGCACAAAGATGAGGCAGAGGACTGTTGGGGCTGAAGGTTCCTTTGGTTGCTCACAACTCAGGTATGCATGTCGTTAGGCAGCTGGACAGCAGAGCCCGACTTCACCACCAATCACAGGCGTTTAGACCTGTGGCCAGATGGTGGCTTCTGGCTGTCCCAGTGCCCACCTCTTTGCATAGGTTCCCTCCATTATCAACTACAGCTGAAACAGGCGTCCTCCACGTTGTGCACACTGGCTCTGCCTTTGTCCTTGCAAGTTGATATTCGGCATTAGCATGAAACCTGTGGTGTGAGAGGGTTGACAGAATTCTAACACAAACATCCTACTAAATTGTACTTGAGATGAAAAGATTCCTGTTGTATTTTGACAGAATTATTTTTATTAAAATACACATCCATGAGCAATTGTGTCTGTTCAGAATCTTACTGAAGTGTGTGTGTGTGTGTGGCGGGGGTGCTACTTCTTGGTACCTTAGGGACTTTTGAAACTTCAACTTTCAATTATACAAGACTCCAAAAGGGACAGGGACTTTAGCTAGTTCTCTCTTGAAATAGTTCACAGACATGCAAAACAACAAATTCAACTTCAGAAATGTGGGCTATTGTGTCTTTTTTCCTCCAAAAATGAAATAGGGCTCAGCCCCAACTGATGGATCTACACAGATCTGGCACCTAAGGCTCAAGGATCATAGCAGAAGGGGGACAGGAAAATTGTAAGAACCAAAGGAACAGGAAGTTTGCTGTGAGGTTTCATCTAGAAATGTCAGAATCTGTTATACCTGTGAAGGCTCATCATCATGGCTTCGTAAACAGGACCTGACTCACCAACTGAAGGGGGCGCTCTCGTGAAGCCTCAACCTTTGACAAAGAACTACAGGTAACTAAGGTATACTGAGTACAGAAGAAATAGTTTTCCTCAGAGAAGAGTCCCCACATTTGTTATTCAAGTGGCCAGGCCTGAGTCATACACTTAAAAGTAGCATATGGACTGAGCATGTTATATATTTACACACACACATACACACACACACACCAACTGTAACTAGAGGCCATAATGACATGGACAGAATGAGTGCATAGAAAAAATTGGAGGGAGAAAAGGAAAGAGAAAACCTTGTCATTAAATATTTAAAAACAGTCTTTTAAATTTAAAAAACATAGTATTGGGGCTGGGTGTGATGGTATACATCTTAGTCCTAGCACTAAGAAGCAGAGGCAAGCAGAGCTCTGGGGTTCCAGGCAGGCCAGAACTATATAGTTGACATCCTGTGTCAAAAGTATGGGGCTTGAAATGCTCTTCAGTTCCCAGCACACATCAGGTGGCTAACAACACCTCTGGCCTCCCACATTCGGACACACAAACTTACACATGAAATAATAAAAACATCTTTAAAGGAAAAAAGAAAGGATGCCGTATGTTCTTGGTATTCATAGGGAATGGATTCCGGGAGATTGCTTTGTCTTCTAGATACCAAATTCTTTGGTGTTTACATACCTCATATAATACTTTAGATGCACATTTTAGGGGTGTGTGTGCGTGCACTTTCCCATGTATGCATGTATAGAGTGCCAGGGTGTTGGGTATCTTCCTCAATTTTACTTCATATTTTTAAAAGATTTCTTTTTACTATCTTAAACTATGTGTATATGAGGTGGGGGTATGTGCATGTAACTGGTGCCAGTGGGGTCCAAAGAGCTTGTGTTAAAGGCTATTTGAAGCACCTGAACTGGAACGAACTCTAGTCCTCTGAAAGAACAGGGCTGACTCTTCACCTCTGAGCTACATCTCGAGCTCCTTCACTGTATTTTTTGAGTCAGGGTCTTTCACTAAATACGGGGCTTGCCAGGCTAGCCAGTAAGCCCATGAGGTCTTCTCCTGTCTTCTCCCAGTGCTAGGGTTGTGGTTTATATGGTTTTGTACCTGGCTTTATATATGGGTTCTGAGGATTCGAACCCAGATCTTCATGGTTGCACAGCAAGCACTTTACCCACTAAACCATCCCCTAGTCCCTATATGTAACCAAAAAGAAAATTTTATTTTTCTTCACTGGGTACAGTGGTG